TCTGTGTGGATAACTGGCTGTTGTCAGACTCCTTGTGCAAACAAAAATCTTTAATACAATTAATGGCAAAATGAATGTTTGGAAATGTAAACTGATATTTCCTACTGGCACACTACAGCAAAAGATAGAAATAACTGACTTAAAACCATTTTTAGCTGGTGAAAATACTAGTTTTGGCCACCACTATATATATATATATATATAGTGTTTATTAATAATACAATATTTTGAATTATATATTTTGTTTTTGGTTTTCATTTATTTTCAATATTACTAATTTTGTTATGTGCTTTTGGCATTGTCGATTTAGTGATTCAAATTTTGTTCTATTTCAGATAATTGCCAATTTTATTATATATCAGCTGTATTTAAATAGAGAAAGCAATTTTTAATAATTGCATCTGATTTTATTGCTAGAACTATGTGTTTTGCGTACTATATCACATTTTGATGTAGTGTTACTGATGAATCCGTTTTAGACTCAATAATGCCACTGTGGTATCGGTTTGTTAGTTCCTGTTGGTATTATTACTCTAACATGAGCTGTATTTCTGAAAACAGGGACTTGAAACCCACCAACGTTTTACTAGATGAGAACGATCGTCCTTTGTTAATGGACTTGGGCTCCATGAACAAGGCCAGGATTGAAGTTCGAGGGTCACGGGAGGCCATGACGGTCCAGGTTAGATCAGCAAATCATTCCGCGGCATTTATCAAAAAATTATCAGCAGCCAATCAAAGCATTAAATGAATCATGTTTGTACACTTTCTCTTTCAGGATTGGGCCACTCAGAGGTGCACCATATCCTACAGAGCACCGGAGCTCTTTAATGTGGAGAGTCAATGTATCATTGATGAGAGAACAGATATTTGGGTAATTCTCTTTGTTGTGTGTGTTTTTACAGATCCAGCTCTTCTTTCTCAAAAAAACATGCATTACAGAATTCTGCACCAACCCATGACGTGTTGTTTTATTGCTGTTCAATGTGTTCAGTTTTGTCTGCGCAGGGCTAATGTTAGCAAACTTTGTCGTTTCATATCTCTACTCCTTCAGATCAGCATAATGTTATGTCTGTGCCAGTCTGTTATGTCTGCTGTAGGTAACCTTTGTATTTTCTGCTCTAGTCTCTAGGTTGTGTGCTGTACTGCATGATGATGCTGGAGGGACCGTATGACTTGATTTTTCAGAAGGGTGACAGCGTGGCTCTCGCCGTCCAGAATCCAGTCTCCATTCCACAGCCATGCAGGTGAGCTTGAGGTCTTTCAGGGCCATTATTGTGTCAAATTCAGCCTCTGTGGACCTCATTGGAAAAGGCAGCACTTTGCAATGGCAATTCAATGTTTTTGGTCATAATCTTCAATCGAATGTCATTAAATGTGGAATATATATTTTTTTAAATATTATATTATGAACTAATTTCCCCTCATTGTAAAAAAAAAAAAAAAGCACATAAAAACTTAAATGTGAAATGTTGTATTTTAAATAATATAATATTTTAAATATATAATAGTATTAAAATATATTTTAAATATAGTATATTATTTAAATTATTATGCATGTAAATTACACAATTTTGTGAAACTTTAATGTGGGAAAATTAAATTAATATTAAATTAATTTATAAAATGCACATAAATTGTGTAACTTAAATGTGGAATAGTACAGTTCAAATAATACATTTTTTAAAATACAATATAATACTATATTTTAAA